CCCCCTCAGGGGGCCTGGGCTGACCCAGGCTCCTTCCAAGTCCACACCCCACGAGGGCTTCTGAGGGACATGCGGGCTGGGTTTGTAGCTTTTAAAAAACAATAACGTATTATGATTATATATTCGCGCAACTTCAAGTTTTCAAAAGCAGACCTGTGTAGGACTCCTCCCTTTCTCAGATGCCTAACCCTTATTAAAATGTCCTCTTGGGGCGCCTGGGTGGCTCAGTCGGTTGGGCGTCCGACTTCGACTCAGGTCACGATCTCGCGGTCCGTGAGTTCGAGCCCCGCGTCAGGCTCTGGGCTGATGGCTCGGAGCCTGGAGCCTGTTTCCGATTCTGTGTCTCCCTCTCTCTCTACCCCTCCCCCGTTCATGCTCTGTCTCTCTCTGTCCCAAAAATAAATAAATGTTAAAAAAAAAAAAAATTAAAAAAATAAAATAAAATAAAATAAAATGTCCTCTTGTGTGCATGCACGTGTTTACCTGCTCCCGCTCGGCTCCCATAGTCTGGCTGGCAGGGCAGGGGCCGCAGGGGCTCTGGTTCACCCCTGAGGCTCCCTGCTGTGGAGAACCAGCTTCCCTGGAGAGTTCTGGGAAGGCCCGTGCCCCTGGGCTCCTCCCAAACACGCATGCTTTCAGATTCTCCCTAATGGGCTTCAGAATGGCTGAGCACCATGGAGGGAGATAACTACACCAACCCTCCAGTCCCGGGGACACCTCAAGCTCCCCCGGATTCGCACCAGGCCAGCGGGGTAGGGCTCAGGACAGGCTCGGGTGGTCCGGCCGTGGGGATGCAGTCAGGATCCAGTGCTCCCCGTGAAGGCCTGTGCAGGCTGCTCTTAGGCCCCGCTCCCCCCGCTGCACAGTGGGTACCTGGCCTCCCTGGACGTCATCCGGATCCTAGACTCTTGTCCAGAAACTGAAGGCAAATCGCCCTCTTTGGTGCTGGCGGCTGAGAAGTTCAAAGCCAATTTTGGATCCGTCTCCAGCACTTATGTGTGACTCTGGTCTTATTTTATTTTCCTTTTGCCCCTATTTAATCCTCTGGTATCGAATGTGTTTTGTAAGCCAACTCCAATCCTTTCTAGACCGAGGCAGAGCAAATAAGTGGAATGCTCATAATCTCTGGTAATCACTTGGTGAGTCACTGTCCACAGGGTCTGGGGGGCGCAGCCCTGCGTGAGGAGCTCCCAGCCCAAAAGAAGGGCCAGCCTGAGGCAAGCCCCGAAGCTCCCTGGGAGCAGAGCCCAGCCACATCACAGGGGGGCTGCTCCACCAGCCCAAGTGTCCAAGGGGTCACCAAGAACAGTGGACCCATCGGGTCAGCCTGAGACCTGGCCCCAGGTGGCGTGTGCGAACACAGAACTGCCCACTCTGGTTCTGATGCATCCGGGGGAATCAGAGAGCAACAAGCATTTCTACTCTGTCTTCCTTCCTTCTTCCTTCCTTTGTCTAAGGACCGGAACGCTGGATGGGCCTGGGTGGCTCTGTTGGTTAAGTGTCCCGACTGCTGATTTCAGCTCAGGTCATGATCTCACGATCCGTGAGCCTGCTTGGGATTCTCTCCCTCTCTTTCTGCCCCTCCCCAGCTTGTGTGCATGCTCTCGCTTTCAAAATAGATTTATTTTAAAATGAAAAGAAAAGAAAAGAAAAGAAAAGAAAAGAAAAGAAAAGAAAAGAAAAGAAAAAAGAAAAAAAAAATGGGAATGCTAGTGGTTGGCCTCGCACCCAGAAACGCGAGGTACCAAACACAGGACGATGCCGGAGCAAGGCAAGCGTGGCCCGGGCTCTGGGGGTGTACGGGCTGGGCGTTCCTTCCTTCCCTCACC